ACCAAAGGCAATTATACTATCCCTGCTAAGAAAACCCTGGCCTGCTGGGTGGTCAGCAACTACCAGTCAAGTCACAAAAGATCTAAAGTGTACATGAGTCTGAAGAGCTTGATCCCTGTGGAGGTTTATGGACGGTGGGCTAATAAGCCACTAAATCACGACCAGGTGTTACCTACTATTTCTCAGTGCTACTTCTACCTGGCCTTTGAGAACTCAGTGCATACAGACTACATAACAGAGAAGCTGTGGTACAATGCCTTTCTGGCTGGCACTGTGCCGGTGGTGTTGGGCCCACCTCGTGCTAACTACGAGGCCTACATTCCTAAAGACTCCTTCATCCATGTGGACGACTTCGCCTCCATTAAAGAACTGGCCACTTTCTTAAACGAGTTAGCCTCAGACAAAGAGCGATACGACTCATACTTCCGTTGGCGCAGTGATTATGATGTTAAAAGGTACCACAGCTGGTCAGAGCGATTTTGCAAAATATGTGAAATATATGAACGTTTGCCACCCAGAAAGATCTATGATGACCTGGATTCCTGGTCCAGGCATGAACCATGAACTAAATCCAGGACAGCAAGCTGGAGACCCGGGCTGTATTAAATAGCACAAACGAATCTATCTAATGTATTTAATCATTTTAAAATCAAGCCTTTCTTAATAAATAATTATGACTAAAGCATTACAGAATGTTAACAATTTGTTTGTAGACATATGACAGATGTTGATCATACTGTTCAGGTTAATTATTAATGCTGTCCATATTATTATTATTATTCTACCAGGGTAATGTACTGTAATATAATGTTGCTGTGTTCTGCTTTTACCTAGCCTATTTTTGTGTATGATGAATTAGTCCAATTTTCAAATTTCTCAAATCAAAGCTGACAACTGTACATCTATTTCAATTTCTTGAATAATTGAAACTCATAACTTTTTTCCATAATTTAGAGACAGTAGAAAATTAAAAATGTTGAACAAAGACAAAATGGCACCTTTGTGTTATGGTATTTTGTGAATATTTCAATACAGTGGAGATATCTGACTTCATTTGATGGAACCTAACATGCTTTACTGGGGAAATGATGCACTTTCGTATCCCTGTGTGCCAAACGCATCCAAAACATACCCATAATGGCTAAAATGTGACAGGAAATACTTCAGAGGACAATCCCATTTTTCTAAATACATTATCAAATATGGTTCATAATATTTGATACAGTTACATCACCTTTATCTACACATATGATTTGAAAGAAGATTTAATAGTGATATGTTGATATTTCTTAATAAAGAACTAAACATTTAATGGGGTGTCCTAATTTTTTCACATGACTGTAAACTGAACTAGAACTAAGGTTAAATCATGACACAGATGATGTACCGATTACAAAAGTGGCATGGTAATTAAAAGCGCCCCCCCCCCCTTCCTTCCGACCCCCTCCTCCACAATCCTAGCTAAAAATAAAATTAGTAATTTTAAGCCTTGTATTAAAAACAATGGTTATATTTCTTAATGTGATATTTAGAGGGTTTATAATTTATGCTATAATAGCATTTAGGGCTGTGCAGCGCTTTTAACGTTTTTTAAGCTAAAACACATAAACTTTTTAAAGAAAAAGGCAGAGCAGACGGAATTTAAACAAGTACAAACATGCCCGAACGAAACGCTGTCAGAAGAGCAAATACTGAGTGTTACGCCAAGAGGACAGAACAGGAGCGGACCCCAATATGCGGTACAACCGTACAACCAGCCGTTATTATTATAACCGAAAACACCAAAGCCAGATGGGATGATCCAAGAGAATAGCCGGGGAGATCGCCAAGGTCCAGTATCCGCGAAGGTCAGTCCTACGGGTAGCGACGAGACGGGGAGACGTCAAGCCGGGTGGATCCATGCAGGAGGGAAGATCGGGAGATCGGGACAGTAGAAAATTAAAAATGTTGAACAAAGACAAAATGGCACCTTTGTGTTATGGTATTTTGTGAATATTTTAATACAGTGGAGATATTTGACTTCATTTGATGGAACCTAACAAGCTTTACTGAGGAAATGATGCACTTTCGTATCCCTGTGTGCCAAACCCATCCAAAACATACCCATAATGGCTAAAATGTGACAGGAAATACTTCAGAGGACAATCCCATTGTTCTAAATACATTATCAAATATGGTTCATAATATTTTCTCAGAAAAAAACACAAATTTCAACGAAATCTATATTTTATTTTCACAATGTGTGCCAAACCTATCCTAAACATACCCACAACAAAGCTCTACTTACAGTACCTTACTTTGGAATGTGTAAGTAAGGCCACCTTACTGAATTTCCTTTACTTGAGCTTTACTTTCATTTTGCACCACATGCTACTCATGCCCTTGTTTGAGGATGACTTCTTGTGAGCCGTCTGTGTTGCTACACCTAACAATCTAAAATATACAGACATTAGACAGACAAAAGGGGCTTTTTTCAGCCACGCGGGCAGGGAAACAAAGCAAGACTGGGAAAATTAGGACACGTACCCCATTAAATGTTTAGGTCTTTATTAAGAAATATCAACATATCACTATTGATGTGAGATCATCTGTCCAAAAGTTGAAGCTGAAGTTGGGGTGGATCATGCAAATGACAATGACTCAAAACATTCCAGTAAATCTACCAAGGAATGGCTTACAAGAAAGAGTTCTGGAATAGTCACGTCAATAGGATCTGACAGGGCAGGCGAGACGGGCAGGACGGGCGAGACAAGTGGGGAAGACACAAGACAAAGTAATGCTCGGTATAGCTCCAGTACATGGCAACAATACTTCGCAATACTGCTATGTTTCGTCCAATTTTAAATAGTGGAGCGACAGATAATTACATGGCTACGTCTACTTGGTCACTTGCTTGCTTGCTTAAAAATTCGGCATGCTCTGGCTTTTCTTTAAAAAGTTAAAGTTTGGGACACTGAGCTTAAGCAAGCAAGCACAAGTCCTTGTAATATTTAAAAAATCTTTGGGTTTTCTTGTTTTTTTTTTTTAAATCAAGGAAAGCGACTTAATAACATTTTTTAGCTAAATAAAGAAGATGGAAAATAAGGGCAAAGAACCTGCAAATTTGTGGTTGTGAACGAAAATTTTTCCCATTAAAATAAAGAAATTAATTACATCACATAATGCCCTATCGTTGGCATTACAGTAATAACAAATTATATCTATAAGGGTAAAGATATCAATAGATTGAGGAGCTTGAAATATATAGGAATACAACTCAGACCAAAATGCTCTAATCACGTCACACTGGAAGAAAAGGTGGGTAAGCGTTTCATCCACCAGGCCACAGAAGGTACAGCCACTGTCTATGTCTACAAATTTGGCAATTTACAAGTTAACTGGATATATCTTACGTAAAATCTTAAAATGAACTTCTTGTACTTTATTGGAGAAACAAAATTTATGAGGCAGAAGCCAGGCCTTCCTCCAATTAATGTCCCCCAAATGAGAATTCCAGAAAAATTTCCCTCTAGGGATAGCTTTGTTTCTATACTGTAAAGTTTGGCGGATATGCTTATTCATACATTTTTTATCATATATCACTATTCCATTTATATACAGGTTTGAATAGACAGCAGATGCTTATCCTACATTAACACTTATATGATTTTTCACAAGCGGAATCAGGCTCTGTGGAATAGCTTTGACAACTGCACTGTACTCCTTATATGGTATGGGAAAACTGTGCTCTGTATACCGTCTGTTGCGGTTGACTATCAGTCGAACATCTCTAGTATGGACATGCAGCCCAAAATGACTTCCATTTTCCAATCTAGGTGGGGATTATGTTTACAAACCAAGGGTGACCTAACGCTAAAGGCGCATGAGGCGAGTCAGTCACATAAAAGGAGACCTCCTCCACATGATTACCCCCCATGGCGAGACTCGCCGGGAAAGTGGCATGGGTGATGGAGGCCATCCAACGCCCATCGAGAGCATGGGCCACCAGCTGCGTCTGTATGGAATTGGTTGGCAGCCCCCGCTGGTAGACAAGTGAGTCAACAAAAATATCGTCCGCCCCTGAATCAGTAAGGGTTGCTAGGAGCTGCTGGATATCACCACAGGACAACAGGGAAAAACTGGGGCTACACCCACCAGGGCCCTCCTCCTTACTGGTGGGTGCGTCCTTTTACTGGACAGTTTGCAATATAATGCCCCACCTGCCCACAGTACAGACGCGCATTGGAGGACCATCACCGTTGCCAATCAGCGGGAAATAAATGGGTCTGGTCCATGGGAGGCATCCCAGTTGAGTTGGTGACACTCAGGAGCTCAGTTCCTCCGCAACGTTCTTTACTGTGCTGTGAGGTTGGCCAGATCTTCAAAAGTGCTTGGCAGTTCAAGGGTGGGTAATTCATCTTTTATGACCTCCGACAGTCCGTTATAAGAGGCATCGAACTGAGCCTGCCGATTCCAATCAGTAGAGAGCGCTAGGGTCTGAAACGCGAAATCAGATATCGATTGGCTGCCCCGACGGAGCCGGAGAAATTGACTTGCTGCCTCTCTGCCATGAGTAGAGCGGTCAAACACCCACTTTATCTCTGTGGTAAAACTGACACAAAAAATGCCCCAGCCTCGCACGCAGCAGTCAGCCACTTGAGCGGGAGCAGTAAACAGGGAGCGATCCGAGGGAAACGCGGACAGCTGCAATCCGAAAATTAGGGAACTGTGGGGTTCTCTCTGGTTTCCTCCCACAGTGCAAAAAGACGCTAAGGTGAATGGGAGTAGCCAAATTGTCTGTATTTGGGAATAGCGTGTGCCTTACAATTATAGTATTGATGTTAGCTACAGTGTATTTGGAAAAAATTTAATTACCTAAATGTCTATGGGAATTCATATTAATTAACTCTTGTCCCCCATTTTACCCCATGTTTAAGCATTGCTTCTACAGAAAAATAGCATCTGACATCATTGTACCTTGTATATTTCCACAGGACAGATAGATCAAACAAGAGTCAGTAGACTTGGCTATATTGTTTATTTTTTATAAACATATACAGTTTTTAAATTTTGTAACTTACATAGCCTTTAAAAAAAATAATTTACTAGTTATGTATGTGTTACTTACACATCATTGCCAAAATGAAATTTATTTTAGGTACTGTTTGAAAACATCTCCTCTTTTTGGCAGTAAACATGAACTGTGAAGCGTTCTGTACCATATAACATAAAATACAACATTTATAAAACAAAAATGGTGTAGTGAAAATATTTTAATGGCGAATGCTTTTTAATCATCAGCTGCCCACATCATTATCATAGTATGCTATAGAGCTGATACATTTTTAAACTATCTGTTTAAACTATCAGCAACCTTCTTTAGTTGTTAAAAACATAAGTATTGTACATACATTTTACTACTGGCAAAGTGAAAATCCAAAAGAAATAAATATGTATTTTAACAGTGTATAGATATTTTAATAGATTAGAAAACATTTCCAGAACATCATGTACCCTTTCCAGTGCTCAGTAATACCTTTTGAGAGGGTTATAGTCTCAGGCATGAGAACATGTAACATATGTGTAGAACAAAGTAGCTTTAGTTAATATACTTGCATTTTATTTTATGCACATAAGCATAAGCAAGAATTTTCCTTCATATATAATTAATATTTAAAAATATACTATATAATACAGTGGTACCTGCGGTTCACGAACGCTGTGGTCTATGAACAATTTGGTTCACGACCAAAAATTTTGTGAAAAAAATGCATTGGTTCGCGTACAAAATTTGGTTGACGAACAGATTCCTCAACCAGATTATTTTTTTTTACTAGTGTAGCACCGGCGGGGCCATGTCCCAGCATGTCCCAGCATGCCCCAGCATGTCCCAGCATGTCCCAGCATGCCCCACGTGCAATTGTAAATAGTAGGACCACAACAGGCACCCAAAGAGCACCGAGCCCAAATACACAGACGGGGAACGCAAGGTTGTAAGACGCCGAACTGTAAGATGCACATACGGTGGAAGATTTACACACGTTAAATACACGTGAGGATCGGACCAGATATACCCACCATGCCTCGGTCCGCACACACTATTGTATTTTTCTTTAAAGTTTTTACTATAAAATTAATTAACAAAAAGTATTATTTGGTGGGATTATTCGAATTAATCAAATTTCAATTCTTTCTTATGGGAAAAATTGCCTTGGTTCGCGTCCAAATTGGTTCACGACCACTTTCCTGGAATGGATTGTGTTCGTGAACCACAGGCACCACTGTACATTGAAAGAAACCCAAAAACTCCCTTAAATATAAAGGGAATTTGAGTGTGAGCGTTACAGTAATACACCATTGATGTACTATGACATTAAATGATGTAGCAGACTATGAGGGAAGACGCAGTGTACTGTAATCATTGCCTTGTGTGACTTTCTCACAAATGGCTCTCATCTCGCAAACAGATATTAAGTGGATAAGATCTAGGTTTTCGGAGGAGATGGGTAAGTGTGAAAGACCGAGATGGAATGACTTGTCATAGAAATGATATATGTTTTAGAATTTGATTTACATATCACAGGACACGCACTGCTAGCTTTTTGTGATATCTATGAGTCGGTGTCAAGTGTCTCTTAGGTTCATATTCTTTTAACCGTGCAATTTTGTACAGCCCCAAGCCATAATGTGTGTACTGTGATTACTACTGCCACAGAATCGGCATACAAATATTTCGATATTTCTCTTATTTTGAAAATATAAATTATCACTTTTTATTACAAAGTAATCACAATTGTGGTGTACAGCATATGTAGCTGATGTACCGTATATGAAACATATACTTCTTGTGCCCCAGGACGCATTATACTTTAGACTGTCGGACATCCTTCCACTCCATTTTAGTGTTCTGCAGGGCTTGTGTCTTCTTTTCATCCACTTGTACATAATCCACTCTGTCTTCATCAGCAAAAATGGGCTTCTGAAAACAAAAGAACATCACATATATATATATATATATATATATATGTAATCAAAATGTAATACTAACACTAATTAAATGTAATAATGTGTTTATTATACGGTTAACAGGAAAAACCAGGTTAATAATTGCATTAATAATTGGCTATCTACAGTAAGCAGACAGTTTAATGGATCCACAGAATTAATTATGCATATGACAAATTAAAATGCTTAAAATCTGTTCTGTTGAAAAGCTATAGTCTGTTGCACATAACAGCATACAACATAAGCAGAACATACATAACAAAAAATACATACTAACTTGCTGAATATTTAACCAGTGTTTCTGAAACTGCAGATCTCCAAATAATTGGAAACGGTGCAAGATGATTTTATGAATGTTTTTTCAGTTCTCACTGGTCATTGCCGCCATGTTACAAAAGTTAACAAATTTTGGGTTAAATTTATCTTGGGACCACCCCCCCCCTTGAAAAATGTCCAGGCAAAAAAATTGAGAACCAACCTATTAAACCAACATCCATCCATCCCCCCTCCAATCTCTTATCTAATATAAGGTCACAGGGAGATGATATAAATGTGAAATCAATTTTTGATGATTTTTAGGTTATGGCTTTATGTTCGTTATTTTTGGACAATGTGGAGCAATGTTAATATATTATGTCCACTGTGTGCTAAAAATGATAGGTCACATACATTTTAACATGTGCTTGTCTTCACAGAATTGCTCACTGTCATGCAGATAAAAGGAAAGGAAATTATGAACTTTCATTTCTTTCACGTTTAGGGAGATTTATTCTGCTCATTTAAATTCACACTGACCATCTGGACAGGCGAGGTAGAGGCAGAGTTGAAGTCCAGGGAAAGATAATCCAGATTCGCTCTTCTCAGCCAAGGGAAAGCTGCATTGCCATTTGTTGGGAAGAAGTGTTGGTTCAAGCCCTAGTGTTGATAGAAATTAAATTAGTTATTTTGAGCCCATTTGGAAAGCATCATAACCGCAGAAAAGGCTGTGATGTGGCTCTCAGGACACATACCTTAGTAAGTGGGTAAATATAATTAACTGCTACTAAACTCACAGACAACACATCTTGTTCCCTGGGACACTATGTCCTTCATTTAGTAGAAGTTTACAACCAGAAAATGTAATCATACATGAGGGATATTGAAAATATACACATCAGTGAGACACATGCCTATTAAACTATATATTTATTACTAAAGCCCATAATACTCACGCACATGCAAACTATGTGTGGATGGGTTGACTGCAGTCTCATTTCCAACATGAAGTAAAATATAATCAAATCAAGTACGGAGTCATTATTAGTTTGGCTCTCCTCTACTTTGGCTTTGATCTTGTGCTCCATACAACTATATAACATACCCATTAGGCCTAGGTTATTTGTCATTTTCACAAAATCATTTAGATTCTACCTGAATACATTAATACCACATTACAATGCAAAATGTCCTTGTTTAAATGTAGCAATTTCTTATCTTTCAATTATATTTCATATAATTTCATTTCATATCATAAGACCAAACACATGAAAAACACTTTTTCTGTACTGAAGTAAAATGTTGTGCAACTGTGATATCGTTCATTCTGCCTCAGGATCACAGATCTGGGAGGGTCAGGGCAGAGGACTTAGTCTACATCACAGGCAATGTACTCCTTTGCCAAGTAAAGGGAGGACAATCCTCTGTTGTGACACATCCATATCTTGTCATCAAATTTCCACTCCCCTGTGGCACTTATACTCTCATTCTCATTTGTTCTACTTACTCATTGGGTTAATCATGTTTAGAAACAACCATGAACAGTTTTTAGTTTTGGCAATTGACAGTTTTGTTTGAAGAATGGAGTTTTAGTGATTTAGCAATAGCACTTGCAAAAACCAGAATAAAGAACTGTAATTGGTCAACTTAAAATTTAAAAAAGGCAATAAAGAACAGCAGAGCTACAAAACCTGTACACTTTAAGTTGTTTTCAAATGTGACCTTTAATCATTGTTATAATAATGTCTTATGAAATTTAGTTTTCTTGTGTCATCGAATTGAGTAAACAGTGTCGTTCATCAGATAAGAATGTATAAAGGGTAGGCATAATAAGCAAGGCTTCAGCCTACACCTTTTTCGGTTTTCTTATTTATATGTTTGTATGTTTGTTTGGCATGGGATATTGTTTTCGAGGACCGAAAATAAAAAAATATTATTATTATTATTATTATTTTACAAACTACATAAATATATTTAACTGAATCAAAAAATATTGTCAAGCAGTTCTATACCTTATCAAAAAATGGAATTTCTATGTGTGGACTCAATATTTTTAATACATTTTGTGAGAGATTAAATTAGACACGTTACCTTTGAGAGGCAGCTGTTGTCTAGGCTTCCTGGAGGCCCAGTCATTGCTGCTTCGTTGTTCAGTGGCAGACGGTGTGCAAAGCTGCTATGAATTATAGATGCAAAAAGATGTGCTGTGCATGAACCAAATCATCATATATAATGGTAAAGACATAACTCAAGCATGACTACAAATGTTTTTAAAAAATTGTCGAATCAAGATCAAACCTGAAACTACATTATCTTGCATCAAATGTACCATGTCAGAATTTGTCCTGCTTCTGCTGCCCCCTAGTGGTATTACTGGTCACTGTTCGGTGTCCCTGTATTTTGGGTCTCCTATCTCCCGCTCTGTATCAGTCTCTTTAATTGGTCAAGTGTCTACACCTGTTCCTCACTGATTACCTCTAACCAGTGTCTCTTAGCACCCAGCTTCCAGATTGTCTTGTGCCCCTGCCAAGCTTTCTTGCATTTGTTGTTGTGGAGCTGAATTTCTTGCTTAGCTGGATAACTTTGAGGATAAGTAGAGGTAACGATGCTGGTTTACTTTTTAGCGGGGTACATCTCAATGGAAACTCGTGCTATGTAATTTTTTGCATGTGCTATGTCATCTTTGTACTTATTCTTAGTCTTTTCATTCATATTCATAATCCTGTTTCTATTTTTTTATTATTACCTTTAAATAAACTTGTTTTGTTTGGTCGGTTTTGTAAATCTGAAATAATCTTCTGACCCTGACTTTGTTAAACCAATTTCTTGATATGGTCCCCAGTTCCTGTGTTTTACCCATGACTGTTTTTCTTTTTGCTGATTTTGCCCTGCATTTTGAATACCTTTGTCTGTGATAGTTTTATTCCTGTGGATGGATCCTCTGTCTGTCTACTGACTTTGCCTTTGTTTTTTTTGGATTTTGTACCTTAGCCCTATTTGAAGATTCTGATGTTTTTGACCCTTGACTCATTCTTGGATTTTCTGCTGTTCTGCTTGGATTTGCTGTTGCTCTTTTGCTTTTGTCTGTTATTTTCTGTCTGTCTATGTTTTGACCTGCCCATGGACTGCAGTGACAATGTAAATATATACAACAGATTATTTATTTTGTATATAGGCAGACAACTGCATTCCACTTCACTAGATATATTGTTAAGAGAAAAGTACCCTAGGTAAGCTTTGAAGCTCTGGACAGTGAAGTGTGTCTTTATTTCAAACATACCTGGGTTCTGTTCGAGTCCTTGTCAGAGGCAAGTGTGTGTCAGATTCTCTGATTGTGGAAAGGCTCCGCAGGTCAAGAGGCGGTGGTCTTGCTGAAAACCAAACAGAATACAATATTCACAAACATTTTAAAGTATATCAAGAATGATTTCTGTCATACAAGGTCAAATTTAAAAGCCTAATTCTCTTTGCTTAAAAGCACATCTTTCACAAGCCCCAACCATTACATGACCTGTTGCCATGACCTGTTATTTTGAAAATAATAAAGTAAGTTTGTGTTGATGTATACACTTGACTGACATATAAATGAGCTATCCCACTGGGCAATTGAATAATCTTTGAAGATGAGCAATCAAACCTCCAGGAGACAACATATCTATACCATACATTAGCTGAGTTGCATTTGTAAAATCAAAGAAATATTTGTCCCAACAGCAAATAGTTAAAGCAGAACAAAATGAGCATAATGGAAAGGTCACATAATGCCTATAGTTGAATGTGTCACGCACCACAACTAAAACACAGTTGCTTTTATGAGAATCATGTAATATTTTCTTTGTTTTGTTTTCCCACATTTCTTTGACAAATATCAAAGGACAAAATCAGAGAAAATTTACATGACTAGATATTTTTCAGATCTACACATTTGGTTAGCTGGGTTAAATACAAAAGACCCTAGCATAGTGATGATTCTATATTCTCACCTCTCATTCTAGGCTTGAGCTTCCGATTGACTGGAGGTGGGTCCACTTCGTAGGGTAAGCCACGCAGGGGCACGATAGGGGGAGGGGTCTCATCTCTGTCACTAGATGTGAGAAGGCTCACAGAAGTGGGACTCATTGGAATGTATCCATCTGATGAATTGTCCAAAGTGGAGACGGGGGAGGAAACCCGAGAATCCATGGGAATGTACGAGTCTTCATTGCAGTCAATCCATTGAGGATTATGAACTGTAACCAGGGAAGGCTGATAGGCCAATATGGAATAAAGAAGAAGAAACTTGTAATTGCAAAATCATTATAACATGTACATTTATAAACATTTTCTTTTACTTGAGGAGTCAGAAGTAACTTAGTAGCTTAGCTACTACTCTAGTACAAATCATGAACAAATATAGCAACTGCATAACATACATGAACCATTATTACTGCTTAATGGTGAACATATAACTAACACTTTCTGGTTAATTAATATATTAAGTATGAGTGTACTAAATTATTTGTGCCTCAAAGTGTTACGCATTTTCTTAGTGAAGTATACATGACGTTGAATATAAATATAGAATTAATATACAAATGACTCTTACCAAATTAAGGCTGAGCCTTTTATTCAAGCTTTTTAATGAGTTGCCTTCGAATTCCCCTAAAATAAGAAATGCAATGATTTTGAAAGTGTCACACAGACATGCATAATGGCATCTTGTACAACGACAATAAGGAAAAAGAGTGAGAAAAAGTGCTACCACTTGATGATTTGGTTGGTGACTAATACTCCACTTTAACAATATGAAAAAGATGCTACGTAAATTGTTTTGTCATTGGTTATTGTTGCTATAGCAAAGCCGGGCTGTTGTGTTAGTGTTGTTTCTATGGTCTCCTTCACAAGATTAATAACTGAGAAAAATATTGTATACACACATATATATATAATCTAAAAATCAGAGTCTTCATGTATCAGGACCTTATGAATGAACTGTTCCTATGTCTTCAGTCAAACAATAACCTTTGAGCCATTATTCAAACTTTATTTTTTTAACTTCTAAACCACCATTCTTGGACTGTATTATCTCATGAAATCCTGAAAATATCTTACGTCTCCTGAAATGATCGGGTCCCCCCAATGAGGTTCTCCGGGAGACTGTGACAAGGCACGTGCTATCCCAGTTACATTGGCTGGGCTTTGGAGGCCTTGCTGGAGGGCTGAAGCTATCCATGAGGCCATTTAGCATCAGGCCAGAGGATAAAGTATCAAACTTGAAGACATCTGGCAAAGGGTGGCAATTCTGTGACGAGATACAGGAGGAGGCACTGAGGGGAGGCTCTGTGGGGGCCACTGGCAGCGATGGTGAAAATGGGTTGAAACAGAGGGGCGAGGAGAACATTTCTTCAAAGGTGTTTTCCGAAGAGCTGCACTCTATGGATCTGTCTGAGTTTGAACAGCTGTTGCAGCTGTAAAGAGAACGGCAAAAAAGGCATCTTGATTCTAAATCGTAGCATTTCACAAGACTGTGGTAAGTAGCTGTTTTTTTTTAATGCAAACTTCCACTCTTGCCTGGTCATCGGGACCCTCCCTGTCTCACATTGTGACAGAAAGAGATAGTCCAGTGGCGGGCTGGATTCTGAGTCGCTGCAGCTCACATCCGGGGCATCAGCATTACGAGGAAGGTCTGCACTGACAGTGTGGATCGTGCCTGGCGACTGGGCAGGTGAATGTTGCTGGGCAGAATCCAGTGAGTCTAGTAAAAAATGGATGAGCTTTAGTCAGGAAAAAGGCAGATTTATCCAAATATATTCAAGTGGCTGCTCTGTATGACAGGCTAAGGGTGTCCTCTAATTCACATTCAAGTTCACCACTCATCAGTAGGCAAATCCATGCTGTACTTGTTCTCGCTCTGCCTTCTCTGCATATTCCTACATTGACAGAGAGAGCACGAGAATGAGAGACTGGGAAAAGCCAGGTGCAGTTGTTTGATTACAGATTCAATTTCAGGCTTGATTAGTCATGTAAATGGCAATAGTTGAAAGCAAATGTAACTGTTTTCACCATTTTACTATTTATGAAAAACAATATTTTCCACATGTAATTTTTCTTTGGTAACAGGATATAAATAGTTCTACTTCTGGGATTTTTTATGTGATAAAGCATCCTTAGTCCACATCATTTCTTAAACACCATGACACTGATTATATAATCATCCCAAAATGTGTATAGCATAGCTTAGTAAATAAACCCCACAACTATAGTAATCTAAAGCTATAAACTCTAGATTTTATCCAGTGATGACAACTGAAATATGATGATGAATAAATTTATATTTTGAGATTTTACATCTGCTGATATTTTCTTTATATGTATATACAGGTGAAAAAGACCTCCAACTGTTAACTGTAAGTAAAAGTTAGGTAGTTGAGTGTGTTGACCAGTTATATAATTCCTGTTATGCGTAGAATTTTTTTGTTTAGCATATATAATAGCATGATACCTTTTTACTAGATTAATTACTATGGAGATTAGAAGCTACAATAAGAGGGTATGGTCCCTCAGGGAGAAGTACTGTGACCTTTCTGCTTGTACCCTACCTATTGTCCAAGCTTGTACCCCTCTACCTATTGTCCAAGCTTGTACCCCTCTACCTATTGTCCAAGCACAGGCAACGGATTTGTTGAGACCCTGTGTTAGACAAAGCTGAAGCTTAATATACCTGGAAGGAAATGATAGACGATGCTTTTGTCATATTGTTTTACTGATGCCAGGCTATTTTGGCTGTCCTAAGTTTTTAGGATTTGTAAATTCCATTACTTTCAATGTGAAAAAAACTGATGACTTCATAGGACTATACATAAAAAGCAGATCTTAAAATGAGCTAAAATGAAGGTAGATCTAAGTATATCTGCCACGTTATCAAATGAAATCTTGCATTTATTGCATGAAATTTTCACAAAATATGTCGTATTCATTTAATATTTATCAGCTATGTATCACTTACCTGCACTATCATTCATTAACTCAAAATGGCAGATTTGACTAATATTACGTATCCAGCTTTTCATTTCATCTTCTGTCTTAGCGACCAAGTAGAAGATGCGGGAAGAGGTTTTGACTAGGAACAGGTGCTGGTTCTGGAAATTGCGCTTAATAAGCTGCAAGTCAGCGGGCATCTGGACCTCGCACTCCCTCAGGTCAATAGTGCGGATGGGTTTCTTGGAGCTCTTGCTGCGGTAGTATTCCAGGACGTCAGGGTTCCCACTCATTCGGCCCCTTCGCAGCACGAACCACCGTCGCCTCCATGCCTGACACAAACAGTCAAAGGAGAAACTGAACATTATTTTTCATTTCCAGGTTTATCAATCTACTTTGAAGTCATTTAAACAAATATTTATTACTGAATTCTGTAACCCAATAGAAGTATCAAATGATTTAATAGTTCTATTATGCTGGGTCCAGAAGACACATATTTAATTTTTATATTAGTAATCAAATGAAATCTATTGCATTTGCATGTTTTTTTTTCCAGCAAAACTTGTCATATGAAATAATTATAATAATTATTCAAGTTATTATAAATTAATGCCATATGTAGTTTAGTGCTATTAAAAAGTATCAAAATTATCCTTTAAAAGTACCAGCAAAGCTAGACAAGAAATAAAAAGAAATTAATTTATTTGCTCACAGTACAGTGTTCATTGTGAACGTTTGGTGTTGCTGACCGGGGGAAATTTTAAGGTAGCAGCTTCTCTATGCAGCTAATAGAAGTACAAAAATATTCAGATGTGTAGGTGGCTATGAGAAGACCAGTAAAGGAAACGCGGTGCCACAGTGACTTGCGGTTTTGTAGGAAAGAGGTCAGAACCCTACACTAGTTTGCCATTTGTTCCTGGAAAAGTTAGACATAGAGTCAGTGGGATCTCATCTGCATGAAACTCTTTTATTCCATAGCAGATTGAACCTTCAAATGTACTGACACTTTCTGCTGCAACATCTCAAGATAGGAGCATTTCCAAGAAGTTAACGGACTGATGTGACAGTTCCAATATTAAGAACTGCGTCATGTTTCTATACTCACTTCTGCTTTTACTATTTAATATGGTAACTGGAGCTTTATGTTGGACATGTTTCAAAATATTCCCACCGTGTACCAACTAAAAAGGGGTTTCGCGGTGTTTAGTGCACACAAAAATCATGCAATAATGTATGTCTGAGTCTTACTACAGAGGCGATTCTTCATTCTCCCTGCACATTTACACATATGTAAAAAAAAATAATAATATATATTAGTTATACAAGTAAAGAAGAATAACAGATTCTGAGGTTGTTTCGGATCCATTACCCATTAGAAAGCTTTTTGTCTTTATAATGAACTGGAAAACATTTTTTTTTGACCATGCACTTTCAATTAGGATAATGATAATTCACCTGGTATGCTTCAGTAAAATATTAAGGCCTGTAAATGCTAAAATGACAGATATGTATGAATAAACTAAATAATTTAAACTTTTTTTTTTCCTTGACAGATATGCGTACAGATATAGAAACCTTTTTTTTTCTGGTTTTGGTTTCATTGTGAGGAACTCAGTGTTATATTTCCCAGAAAGAACAGAAAGGGGAAGTAAAACATACATAGTCTACTTTTTGCATGCATACGTTTATATATTTGGTCAGAAAAATACAGTTTAACATTAGAATGTAGTGTAGTATGTGAATAGTAACAAAATAACAAACATAAGGATTTCTTCTGTTCTCCAAAAAGTCACTGATATCTTCTTGGATGATGAGATGAACACTCTTTCAGTTCCCAAACCTCTCCTCAGGGGCACCACAGCCATTCCATGTATTCGTTAAATTTCATCACCAGCTCACTTTTGGAGTGGTTATGAAATTACTAAACTGACACACTTTAACACATGAAAAATCGTTGTTTTACACACTGTTTTACACCAACTTAAAGGTAATTTACACATAATTTTAGCACAGAACTGTATATATGTTCACTGGAGTAAAATTTTTACCAACATCAGACCTAATACTGCAATTACTTATTGTCTCCTTCTTGGCGTAAGTAGTGCCATTATATGCTTTGGTCTGCACTAACCACAATTTTTTGCAGGCTCTTTCATCAAACCATGAGAAACATAGCCTTCAGGAAACCTTTGGTATCATGCAAATAGGTTGCATGTCAGCGGGTTCCTGAGTACTTCTGTTGCTTTGCATTCCTGATATACTACAACATACTGAGCACGATAAAAAATCTTCATATTTCAGGCCATCTACTACTTAGTAATAGTAATATAGAAAAGTAGAGACAATGCTTAGTTTTTATTCACTAGTTTTAAATTTTATCCTCTCATGAATTTACATATTTTGTGCTGCCTAATTATTTACCCAATTATATCGTTTAATATTGCACTGCCTTTCTCAAAATGGTCAACAATCAATCCATTTCTGAAAATTGTAACTGAAATAATTCTCAAATTAAAATATTTTTTTACAAAATTGATATATATAGTTTATATGCATGTTTGTTTACCTGTCTTTGTGCTGATTTCATGTTCACCAGTCATTTTAATTAATTTTAAATAAAAAGGATTTGATAATTTTATTTGCAAAGTGGACTATTAGATTTTAGGACGATTATTTCCCCCAAATGAATTGTAACAGGATTACGAAAGTAAGTACAGATTTAACTCAACGATGAAGGTGACATGATAGTGATAGTGTTATTTTATTATAATTGGTAAACAAGTTTAAAGATTACAGGTACGAAATTGAGGTTCTAATATAAAATATTTCATATATTAAAGAAAGTCAGTTCAATTCAGTGTTACTGTAAATGAGTAAACAATATGTCCATAATATTAAAAAAGTTACATAATATTTTTCAAAGCCCTTTAAAATCATGTAAACTCAGTGTTACTCACTGAGTCACCCTGCCACCCCATAATACTAATTATTTGGTTGAAAGTATAAAATAAGCAGTTAAAAATTCAGTAAAAATAAATGATATTTTTAAGTGCCAAGGTTAATTAACCTTCATAGTCTCTAAGTATGGCCCAATCCTGGGTTGTTCCCTGCCTTGTACCCGTACCCCCGGATAGGCCCTGGACCCCGTGTAGCTCTAAACAGGACAAGCGGTTACAGAAAATGGATGGATGGATTCTCTAACAATGCTTCCATCTTCATAAAATAAAGGAAGTCTTCCCCAACTGTATTTATTCTGGCATTAAATATCATCAGTTGTATATATCCATTCATCTTCCCATTGAAACTCTGGAATCTATCCCAGGAATGTGCTGGTCACAAAGCAGGGGAATAACTTGGACAGGACGCCCGGCCGTCACACGGCCCACAAGCACCACTGAGGTGTGAGACCACAGTGCTACCCACTAGTCTGCCATTTGTAGATAAAATGGTTTATCAGCCAGTCACAATATTAAAACCACCTGCGTAATATTGTGTAGGACCCCCTCATGCCACCAAACAGTTCTGATCCGTCATGGCAGGACACCTCTGAAGGTGTCCTGTGGTATCTGGCACCAAGATGTCCAAGCCCTGTAAGTTGTGAGGTGGGGCCTCCATGGATTGCACTTCCCATGGATGCATGATTGGATGGAGATCTGGGGAAACTGGAGGCCAAAACCATTCCTGAACAATTTTAGCAGTGTAACAGGACACATTATCCTGCCGAAATAGGCAACTGCTATCAGGGAATACCGTTGCCATGAAGGGGTGTACTTGGTCTGCAGCAATGTTTAGGTAGGTAAGGCAGTCATAATGCATAATAAAACAGGGATATAAAGTATTATGCCTTTTTATAAACATTTATAGCCATATTTATAAAGCTTTATGACTGCATTATAATGCATTATGAATGTGTTTATAAATTACAAAAAAAATGGCCTTAAGTAGTGTTAACGACCTGCCTTTGTCAAAGTCGCTCAGATCCTTACACTTGCCCAGTTTTCCAGCTTCCAACACATCAACTTCAAGAACCAACGGTTCACTTGCTTATAATGGTACCCTTAACAGGTGCCATTGTAATGAGATAATCAATGTTATTCACTTCACCTGGCAGTTGTTTAAAATTTTTGGGCTGATTGGTGTAAGATGTAGTGGGTAATGTAGATAAATGGGTGATATTTTCAATTGTACTCATCACATTAGGTAGTATAATGTGATATAATGTATTAATTATGTATTTTAAAAATCATTGTACCATGTGCATTAGAAATACAGTAAAACCTTCGATTGCGAGTAACTTAGTCTGCGAGTGTTTTGCAAGACGAGCAAATTTTAAAAATAAATTCTAACTTAATAAACGAGCGAGGTCTTGCAATATAAGTATTACATATACGCTTTGTCTGTCTAGCGTCACGTGATCACAACTCAGCCGATGGTTCTTCTCTCTCTCTCTGTGCGGGATTGTGGGTAATCGTCTCCCATGCTCGGCCTCAGTCGGCGTGCCTCACTCGTATAGTCAAAATTTAGTAGAAAAGCACCACCCAAAGGGATGATGAAATCTTTTAAGTAATCATCACAGATAGTAGTGCATGGCTCAGTGAGTCAGGCCTTTATGCCTGTCACTGGACACCCTGAAAAATGCTGCAGGGGTGGCAATAAATGGCTGACCCTGTGATCGGACCCCAAACAACACTATCACCTGTATACATGTGTAGGTCTTAAAAAGGAGAGCAAGATGGGATGTGTGAAAGCTGAATAATTCATATGTGCATATACAAATGGCAAATAAAGCCTCATTTCATAAATCTATTTTATTGATAGTATAATCAGTATAATAATTAGTATTGATAGTTTCTGAGGATAAGAAAAAAAATACTCCTCTAAGATAAATGCAGTCCCTTTTCGGTGAGTAGTACTGGCATATGCTGTGCTTCACCATGAGTGAAAGGCTTTCATCTTGTCATCTGACATGCCTTGTTTCTGCCTGTTGAATCATTTTAACAACTTCACTACTACAGTGGTTTCTATGTATCAACATTTCATAGAATAACAAGGTGATGGTTAAAGTGCACAAAGCAATCCGAAAGGCCCTCACTGTCTCCACTGCATAACACAAACTATTGTTATGCAATATCCCAGCAGAAATATAGTACCGTAACGTATGAGGATGATTTCCTCAAGTTGCATTGTGTTTGCATCTATGCATAACAGAAACAAATGCATGATTTCCTTTCATTGCCTCACATTTCAAAACAAATGCTTCATTGTGATACAAACTGAAATTATGAAATACATCAAGGATATTTCAACAAGCCACAGACCTCAAATAGCTACTGAACAAGATTAAAATGATTTGCTTAAAATACAAAGGATGAAATCCTATCTCAAATTAATAGGATACTTGACTCAATGTCTGCAGCATATCCTATGTATTTATAGCAATACATGAAAAACATTAAAGTTCATTTTTACCAAGAAAATACATCAAGAAAGGCAAAGCAGTTTCTTTTGCTAGGCTGGCTGCATAAAAAGGGAAACCTGTTATACTGTATAACAACACAACAGCATTATAATGTTAACAGACAAGGATCATGTGCACATTTTGTGCAGGAAATACAACTGCTACCAGCACAACACAAACTGAGTGTTATACCCTCCCAGTTTCAGTACTCACATATCTCTTTAATTTCTTCTCAGGGGGGGATTTGATGAGCCAGCCTGTGCAAACCACATCCCCTGCGCTCATTTCATCTGATGAGTGCCAGAATACAGGGGATTTCAACGTCTATGTGATACTGCTTGTACTGCCACTGTTTTGAACTGAGCAGCGCAAGTCAATTTCTATGTTCTGTGGCACAGCCCTACCACAGGAGGAAGTCGAGCCATTGATCGCAGTGACAGGCGTGCGTGTGAGTGAGAGCAAGATAGGGTGGGAGAGAGAGAGCGAGAGAGAGAGCTCCTCCCCTTAAACACAATACGTTGAAATCTCAAGCACATGACTAGGATGTTTTATAAACAAACATGTAGTTGAAGCGCAGTTGAAAAAAATGCCATGTAGGGCTATTTATAATCTATCTGCTACTTAAGTATTCTAAGTCAGGAAGCTGGATAGAGACAAGAAGCCTACTGAGCAATTATAGATTTTCTTAATGAACAATAACATTACAAAATGCCTTTATATTAAAATAACATAATAATAACAGTTATTTCCCCAGCATAATGGAACATGGTGTAGTACATGAACATTTTATTACAGAGATAACATAATTTATGTTAAAATTTAAATGGAAGATCCCTTAAGAACACAATAAAATATATATTTCCTTTAGCAAGAATTTGACTTTGTGATGACTATGATTTTGAACAGTCTTATAAATTAAACTCACAAACACGTGCAACCTATTGAATTTCAGACAAGATTTCAGACAAGAGAAAGTCGTGTGGTGATAGACCCACCAGTTCAGGAAATACATACTGAAAAATTCGAACTGGTCACCCTATATGTTATGTACCTGTGAATAGCTTTCATGTGAATTACACACTAATGATAAGTGCCTATAGGTAGGTGAAACACTTATGGAGATTTAGTATTTTATTAATTCATACTGTTAATTCAAAATATATTTTCATTTTTATTGTTATGCTTGATTTAAGGAAAAATTGACAAGTAGGCCTGCCCGTTACTTGTTTGTTTTGCCTCTCATTCCTAACCCTCATTTTGATCATTCCCAGCTGCCTCTCGTTAGCTCCCTTGTTAATCTTGTATATTCGTGCTTCCCAGTCCTGTGTTCCCCAGTCTTCCTGTGTTCCCCAATCTTCCTGTTGCCTGTGCCTTTCCTTGTTTTAGTCCTCCCATTTCATTCCTATTTGTTTACTGTTCCTGTTCAGTTAGTTCAATAAAACCCTTTTCTGTTTCGCTAACACGCCAAACCTCAAGTCCTTTGTCCTTCAAGTCATGATAGTAGGCATCCATCCATCCATCATCTACAGCTTATCTGGGTCGGGTCACGCGGACATCAGTCTAAGCAGGGAAACCCAGACTTCCCTCTCCCCGGCCACTTCGTCCAGCTCCTCTTTGGGGAATCCCGAGGCATTACCAGGCCAGCCGGGAGACATAGTCTCTCCAGCATGTCCTGGGTCTTCCCCGGGGCCTCCTCCCAGTGGGACATGCCCGAAACACCTCACCAGGGAGGCATCCTGATCAGATGCCCGAGCCAACTCATCTGGCTCCTCTTCATGAGGAGGAACAGCGGCTCTACTCTGAGTCCCTCCCGAATGACCGAGCTTTTCACCCTATCTCTAAGGGAGAGCCCAGCCACCCTGCGGAGGAAACCCATTTCGGCTGCTTGTATTTGCGACCTCATTCTTTGGGTCACTACCCACAGCTCATGACCATAGGTGAGGGTAGGAACGTAGATCGACTGGTAAATTGAGAGGTTTGCCTTTTGGCTCAGCTCCTTCTTCACCGTGACAGATCGATGCAGCGCCCTCATCACTGCTGACGCCGCACCGATCCGCCTGTCGATCTCCCGTTCCATCCTTCCCTCACTCGTGAATACCCCGAGGTACTTAAACTCCTCCACTTGGGGAAGGACTCCCTCCCCAACCCGGAGAGAGCACTCCACCCTTTTCTGGCTGAGGACCATGGTCTCAGATTTGGATGTGCTGATTCTCATCCCAGCCACTTCACACTCAGCTGTGAACTGCTCCAATGAGAGCCAAAGGTCATGGTCTGATGAGGCCAACAGAACCACATCATCTGAAAAGCAGAGACCTAATCCTGAGCCGGACACCCTCAATGCCCTGGCTGCACCTAGAAATTCCGTCCATAAAAGTTATGAACAGAACTGGTGACAAAGGGCAGCCCTGGCAGAGTCCAGCCCTCACCAGAAATGAGTCCAACTTACTGCCTGCAACGCGGACCAAGCTCTGACACCAGTTGTACAGGGACTGAACAGTCCTTATAAGGTAGTCCGACACCCCATACTCCTGGAGTACTCCCCACAGGACTCCCTAAGGGACGTGGTCGAATGCCTTCTCCAAGTCCACAAAGCACATGTAGACTGGTTGGGCAAACTCCCACGCACCCTTCAGGACCCTGCGGAGAGTATAGAGCTGGTCCACTGTTCCACGGCCAGGGTGAAAACCACACTGCTCCTCCTGAATCCGAGGTTTGACAATCCAACAGACCCTCCTCTCCAGCATTCCTACATATAACTTACCAGGGAGGCTGTGGAGTGCGATCCCACTATAGATGGAACACACCCTCCAGTCCCCCTTCTTGAAGAGGGGGACCACCACCCCGGTCTGCCAGTCCAGAGGCACCGCCCCCGATGTCCACGCAATGCTGCAGATGCGTGTCAACCAGGACAGCCCTGCAACATCCAGAGCCTAGAGGATCTCCGGGCAGATCTCATCCACCCCCGGGGCCTGGCCACCGAAAAGCTTTTTAACCACCTCAGCGACCTCCGCCCCAGAGATAGGTGAGTCCACCCCAAAGTCCCCAGACTCTGCTTCCTCATTGGAAGGCATGTTAGTGGGATTGAGGAGGTCTTTGAAATATTCGTTCCACCGACCCTCAACTTCCCGAGCTGAGGTCAGCAGCGCCCCATCCCCACCATAAACAGTGTTGATGCTGCACCGTATTTCTGCCCTGAGCTGCTGGATGATGGACCAGAATCTCCTCAAAGCCATCCAGAAGTCGTTCTCCATGGCCTCGCTAAACTCCTCCCATACCCGGGGATTGCCGCTGCGACCACCTTATGGCCACAGCTCCAGTCAGCTGCCTCCACAAGGAGTTGAAGCTCCTTCTGACAGGGGATTCCACCAGACGTTCCCAGCAGACCCACACTATACGCTTGGGTCTACTAGGTCTGACCGGCTTTCTTCCCCACCAGCGGAGCCAATGCACCACAAGGTGGTGATCGGTTGACAGCTCCACCCCGCTCCTCACCCGATGGTCCAATACATGCGGCCGCAAGTCCGATGACATGACCACAGAGTCGATCATTGAACTGCGGCCTAGAGTGTCCTGGTGCCAAGTGCACATATGGACAGCCTTATGCTTGAACATGGTGTTCATTATGGACAATCCGTGACGAGCACAGAAGTCCAATAACAAAACACCGCTCAGGTTCAGTTCAGGGGGGGTGTTTCTCCCAATCACGCCCCTCCAAGTCTCACTCTCATTGCCAGCTCAGGCTCCTTCCCCACCAGATAGGTGACATTCCATGTCCCTAGAGCTAGCTTCTGCAGCCGAGAATCGGACCGCCAAGGTCCCCGCCTTCGGCCACTGCCCAACTCACACTATACCCGACCCCTTTGGTCCCTCCTACAGGTGGTGAGCCCATTGGAGGGGGGACCCACATGCCTTCTTCGGGCTGTGCCCGACCAGGCCCCATGGGTGCAGACCTGGCCACCAGGCACTCGCCATTGAGCAAAAGTGAAGAGTTATGAAAAAATACAAGATCTCTAAAAACAATGTTGTTCCAAAAGAACAGATGAAATACGGCAACACAATAGAACAACACTCAAATTCAGCATTGAATCAGTAAGATTTCTTGTCAGACAGGCATTAGATGTCTGCTTGTTTGTCTTCACCTTGTTGTTCATAATCATGGTAAACTAAGCTGTGATAGACTGTATACCCCTGTCTGTGTGTATGTATAGGAAGAGCAACTGATAGTCAAACATGTGCTTATAGCATTTTAATGGTTTCAGCTTTGTGTAAATCTATGTCTTTAAATCATTCATGCAAAAAATTGCTTGTGTATTATTGTTTATTATTGCACCTTAACACAACTCATGCAACCACACTACTATGTCTGCTCAATTAGATCCATACTGTATTGCTGTATATAATATGTGCATTCATTACCACTGGATATGCTTATTTTGTATATCATTCTTATTTTGAATTTATTTAATCCTATTGGTTTTTTTAACAAGTCAGACTCCTTGGGCTTGTGTACTTGGACAATAAGAAGATTCTGATCGTCTTTGAGATACATGCATGAAATTTGCACATCTTTCCGTAAATGCAGTATTGACATAGCCAGTGTGGCGCCCTAGGTGACCATCACTGTTGGCATTCCCCTTGCCCGGGGAAAAATTAAATTGGTTGGCAAGTCGGCACCCCATTATAAGTTAGCCAGCCACCTATGTCGCCTATAGGATTGACCAATGCTGCAAATGCAAATGAAGGAATAAAATTGCAAGAGTAGTTTTTGCAGAGTTTGCAGAATGATGAACAGATCTACAAGGTGCTGGGATAGCAGGATGAAATACCTTTAATAAATGAATAGCTGAAATAAGCCTGTGCCGGAACATCTATCCTTTCCCCATGTTAGAAAAATATTAACATATTTTAACATGTCAGTGCCTCATGTGATGTTTAAAAACTAAAGAGGAAAGTTTGTTATGAGTACTAAAATTAGGTTTGCTAAAAAATAAGGTAGCATATATAGTTTAGCTGGAACAATTTAGCTATTAGCTGAATTATTAAGACACCTCTATGGATAATTCTTTTTTATAGTCTTACTTCATTCCAATTTCTTATTACTAGACACTGAGTATTTTTGGAGAGGAAGGTTGATAAAGATAATTAATCATGTATTTTACTATTACTAAGGAATGGGGGAAGGGAGTAGTGAAGGAAGCAATAGTTCAGAGTCAATAAGAACAGCAACACAAACATTTAGGTAACAAAGGAGCAGTGGCAGATAAACATCACAGCAGCTATGATAACACTGGAAACAAAAACAGTCATGCAACATGATGATTTGCACATGTCCTATGCAAAATGTTACGAAGGCCAAATGAAGGTCTTGAGTATTGTATACAAAACTGGTTATTTTATGAGATAACTTAGCCCATGCCTGTACAATGAATACTTCTATTGAACTTAATAGTAGTGCATTTTAAGCTATTTT